TATACAGACAGACAGATAGATAGATGATAGACAGACAGATAGATAGATAGATGATAGACAGACAGACAGACAGATAGATAGATAGACAGACAGACAGATAGATGATAGAAAGACAGACAGACAGATAGATGATAGAAAGACAGACAGACAGACAGATAGATAGATAGAACGATAGATAGATAGATAGATAGATGATAGACAGACAGACAGACAGATAGATAGATAGAACGATAGATAGAACGATAGATAGAACGATAGATAGAACGATAGATAGAACGATAGATAGAACGATAGATAGAACGATAGATAGAACGATAGATAGAACGATAGATAGAACGATAGATAGAACGATAGATAGAACGATAGATAGAACGATAGATAGAACGATAGATAGAACGATAGATAGAACGATAGATAGAACGATAGATAGAACGATAGATAGAACGATAGATAGAACGATAGATAGAACGATAGATAGAACGATAGATAGAACGATAGATAGAACGATAGATAGAACGATAGATAGAACGATAGATAGAACGATAGATAGAACGATAGATAGAACGATAGATAGATAGATAGATAGATGATAGACAGACAGACAGATAGATAGAACGACAGAACGATAGTACGATATAGATAGTAAGATAGATAGATAGATAGATAGATAGATAGATAGATAGATAGATGATAGATGGTAGACAGACAGACAGACAGATGATAGACAGACAGATAGATGATAGAAAGACAGACAGACAGACAGATAGATAGAACGATAGATAGAACGATAGAACGATAGAACGATAGATAGATAGATAGATAGATAGACAGACAGACAGACAGACAGATAGATGATAGACAGACAGATAGATGATAGATGATAGACAGACACAGATAGACAGACAGATAGATGATAGATGATAGACAGACACAGATAGACAGACAGATAGATGATAGATGATAGACAGACACAGATAGACAGACAGATAGATGATAGATGATAGACAGACACAGATAGACAGACAGATAGATGATAGATGATAGACAGACACAGATAGACAGACAGATAGATGATAGATGATAGACAGACACAGATAGACAGACAGATAGATGATAGATGATAGACAGACACAGATAGACAGACAGATAGATGATAGATGATAGACAGACACAGATAGACAGACAGATAGATGATAGATGATAGACAGACACAGATAGACAGACAGATAGATGATAGACTGACAGACAGACAGATAGATGATAGACAGACAGACAGATGATAGACAGACAGATAGATGACAGACAGACAGATAGATAGATAGATATAGATAGAATGATATACAGACAGACAGACAGATAGATAGATGACAGACAGACAGACAGAAAGATAGATGATAGACAGACAGACAGACAGACAGATAGATAGATAGATAGATGATAGACAGACAGACAGACAGATAGATGATAGACAGACAGATAGATGACAGACAGACAGATAGATAGATAGATATAGATAGAACGATATAGATAGATAGATAGATAGATAGAGAAAGATAGAATGATAGAAGGACAGAATAGACAGATAGAACCACAGAACAAGAGATAGAATGAAAGAACAATAAATAGAACGAAAGAATGATAGATAGAATGAAAGAACAATAGATAGATAGCTAGATAGATAGATAGATAGATAGATAGAACGACAGAACAATAGATAGATAGATAGATAGAATGACAGAACGACAGACAGACAGACAGATAGATAGATGATAGACAGACAGACAGACAGATAGATAGAACGACAGAACGATAGTACGATAGATAGATATATAGATAGATAGATAGATAGACAGAACGATAGATAGAACAAACGATATAACGAATGAACGAACGAACGAACAATAGATAGATAGATAGATAGATAGGTTCATTCCCGCAGAGGGCAGGAGAGAGTAACAAACATGGACACGGAGTATGAAAGGAACAGAGACTGTGTGTGTGTTTTATAATGACTCTTCACACTGGAAAAAATTCCACACAAATCTCAAATGTTTGGCTCACAAGCAACAGAAACATGCTGAACAGCGTGAGAGACAGAAAGGGAGCAGAAGAGAAGAGAAAGAAGAGATAAGAAAATGGAAAAACAGACAGGTCGATAAATGAAGAAAACAAAACATGTTATCAGCAGGTGAGTTTTCTCTGCTCCCTGACCTCTCGTCATTTCACATCCAGTGTCTAAGAACAGAAAGCAGAAACACCACAGGTGTTGCTACAACACACTATTTCCAGACTAAATTGTTATTGTTAGAGGACATGTCTCCTGACCCACTGAGTAAGGTTATCCACATGGTGATAAGGACATGAAAAAGACAAAATGAGGGGTGGAAAAAAAAAGAGAAACTTGGACACAGCATTGACTTTTAGGAAAGCCTCATTTCGGGCAGATCCAAAAAAAAATTTTAAAAGTATTATACAATTTAACTTTTTAACTTTGTTACACTACGAAAAAAGACGTATAACAAAAGACACTTTCTACAAAAAGGCTACAAAACAGGGCTTAAAAAATATTTTTCTTTCCTCGGTCAATAATTAAAACTGAATCAACTGAATATCAATGGGATTGAATAATTTTAACAGATTACGCCAAATACAGACATTTGATGGGTTTCAACTAGCTACTTTTCATGTTAGGTCATTTTTGTGTGTCAAACATATGGAAGCCCATTTCTGCCACTGAATAAAATAAGAAAACTTTATCTCGCAATTCTGACAAACTCGCAATTATGGGAAATAAAGTCGGAATTACAAGGTGTAAACTTGCATGAAAAAAAAAATCGCAATTACCTTGTTTTATTGATTATTTAGTGCCGGAAACAGGCTTTCATTCAAACATGGCTAATAAGCATCAAGACGAAAACAAAAATGGCATTTTAGCCTCCGATACAATTCATCTGTGCACTTGAGTGTGTTGGGCAACAGTCTTCCATTACCTGCGACCGTCTCGCCTGTAAGAGTGTAAGACAGAGTGTGATGGAAACTGTGCATGAGTCCCTCTGTGTTTGTATCCAATGTCTAGATCTTCAGATTGAAGCCAAAGCAATGGTAATACAGGACGCTTAACTCTGATTGGATTACAGACATTTCCTTTGACATTTTTCTCAAAGAAATGGACATATGTTTAATCCATGTCTTTATCTTTAAAGGAATGTCCCATGCCGAGTTAAGCTTATTCAACAGCATAAACTGCATTTAGGGTTAAAAATTTAGAATGGAAGTGTCCAGAAGGTTTATGTAGCCAGAAATGTGAAGCTCAGAATTTATTAAAAGACATGAATTCTTCTGTTAAAAAAGTGTGCTATTAACCAAACTATCACTTTTGTGGTGGGACTACTGTTCTAAGCATATGAGGCTTGTCATGCACCTAAACGCAGCAGATGGCTTTTGTTTAGACTGTTTCTGGCCATTTTTCATCATCTGACATCATGAGCATATGCAGACCACAGGAAGAAGACAAGTTTATGTTCTTCTGCAGATTCAAGACAATAGTCTGGCAGACTACCTGCTCAGCTCCATGTAAACAAGGAATTTATAGCACCTGCTTTCTTGGAAGCATCCATGCTTGGACACTGTGTGAAATTTACCTGGTTTACAGGCGTTAATAACAATGTTGTCACAACAACGTTGAAAAACTGGAAATAACGTAAACAACAAGACAAGGTGTATTGAAGCCAAATAATTAATTTAACACCCCCAGAAATGTACAGCTGTGTGGTCTATGGAAAGAATTCCGGTTTCAAATTCCAGAAAAACTAGCAGACAACATCAGATCTTAAACTAGAAAAGAGGATGCTTGTATATGAACGTGCTTTTGCATGCACATTTCCCATTAAGTCGCTACGCAATGAGAAATGACCGACTGAAAGGTCACCATTTACCATTCATTTCCTGCATCTCATAAATTTTCCCAATGGACTCCAGCTACTAACAATTACCTGTGCCATTACTAACAGATTCTGTGAACTGCATCAGTTTTGATCACTTGCAATTAAATATTTACTTTCAGTGATGCACCCAAATGAAAATTGATATATGATTATATGATATTTTTAAATGTGATGTAAAAATGAAACAACTTCTAGAATATTGTATATTTTATAATGTAGGCTGAAACAATTTTTTAAGTACTGAATATTAGTTTAATAACAGCTTTGGGAACCTAAAAGTTCCTCAGATGCAATTCTGACATCAACCAACCTATTTTCCAAAACAAATGTTCCTAAACTTTGATCTTTACGAATAACGAATTATTATAGAATAATAATCTTTCAATAGAGTTTGGGAACTATGACGTCAGAATCCGGAAGTGTAATTTCGCCATGGGTTCCTTCGAGATTTTCCAATGGGGTTTTTCAATTAATGAGTAAAATAAAGCTTGTGGTAAACATAACTTCACGATACTTTTATGTTTTGTTTTACAATGTAAACTGCACACACTCACAGCCCAAACGTTCTTATCTAGTTACTTATTAAAAACATACGTTTTCAAAAATGACCATAACTCCTTCAAAATGTGTGTTTTGGGTATGGATGCGTGTAATTTACATTATAGAACAAAACGTAAAAGTATCGTCAAGTTATGTTTACCACAAGCTTTATGTTACTCATTAATTGAAAAACCCCATTATAAATCCCCATAGGAAAAATCTCGAAGGATCCCACGGCGAATTACATTTCTGGATTCTGACGTCATAGCTCCCCCACTCTATAAACCTCAAACTGACTTTAGTCTAATGTAAACTCTCCAGTATGCTACAACAACAAAGTGCTAAAGAATACACAACAAAAGACAAAATTGTTTAGGATTTTCTGCTCATTTTCTCTTTCATCCAATGGCATTTAAAAAATTTTGGTATTCGAAATTCTGATTTATTCCTATTCATTTGTGTTTGTGCACAATGTAAGAAGAACGGTACATCCAGGCCACAAGGGGGAGCTCTTACCTCGTCCCATTCTGAAGTGAATGAAGGTGATTTTTCCAGTCTTCTCTTGGTGGTGCTACAGTTGGACACTGACTCACTTCGGCCGCCCAACCCCGTCTCTTCCTCACCGGGTGGGGACACCAGCAGGTCGGAGTCGGACTTCGAAAGGCTACGCGCTAGCTTGAGATCACCCGGCGGAGGCATCCTTCTCGTCAGCGGAGAATCGCGGGCCGGTGAGTTGTGTTTCGACGAAGAATCCCGTGGCTCTTTGTGGACCGTGGCGTAAATAGCTTTGGGGTCAGTGTCCTGGAGAATGGTTTCCACGGTGACCGCCAATTTGGGATGGGGAAGGGGGGCGGAGCTGGCAGATGTCGAAGTGTTGGAAGCCTCGCCGGACTTCACTCCAGAGGACGGCAGTCTGAATGCTTCCTCCCGACAGTCGACCACCGGCGAGGAACCGTGAAGCAGACCAGTGAACTGCTCAGGAACGGCAGCGCTTATATCCTGACCGTGCGAGGAGCTCTCTGTCAAGAGAACAGAAGAGAGAGTGAGAGAGTTACAGGCGGACTGTGGAGCCGTATCTAGACCAGATAACATAAAACCGCCCACTCCACTACTGCCCAGTGCCTGAAACAGATCTGTTTTTGTTTTCTGACTGGAAAAGGGAGGGAGAAAAAAATGCAGAAAGAAAGTAAGTGAGTTGGGCTCACCAATTCCAAAGTGCCTGTGTTAGAAAATTCCAAGTGCAGGCTATGAGCAGCTGACTTTTCTCCATAGAGATCTGACTTGCTTGTTCTATTCCCTGTTTCTCTCTCACTCGCTGTGCAACTGCTAACAAGCATACAGCTTTATAAGGCTTGCTTCCAGAGAAGTTATGTCTCACTAAGGATTCCCTTTATTATGAGTGGCAAGCTTGAAACAGGATACCACAGAGATGACTGTGAAAGAAACACACTCGCTCTCTCTTTCTCTCAAACACCACTTTGCCACACCGTTATGCGTTGGGTTCTTAAAAATTAAATCCCTGCTTTGTGATTACAAAATCCTTCTCCCAGAACAGCACACTTACAGATCTCTTTTTACACTCTCTCTCTGGCCTGAAACATACTATAGGCAAGTACATTAATACTTCAATGCAAGTTTGATTTCAAAGAGAGTTGCATTCTCAGTGTCGCCACAGGGGGCGCTACAGTGTACATTAGCGGAAATTGTCTTCTGCGCTCACTTTTCTCTTTTAGGACAACTACTGTCATGCCGGAGGAAAAGTTTATACAGAATCTTGCTGAACACAGTTATTGTTATATATACATTTTATAGAAAAATAACATCAACCTTCAATCTGAATATTCCTACTTCCCTAATATATAGCAGGTGAAAAACGTCTGAATTCATAGTATATAAACACTGTCAGAAAAAAAAAGTGCAGTTATTTTACCTTTAGGGGTACAACAGCTTGTCACTGGGGCAATACCCTCAAAGTGACACCTTTGTACCATTTTTACCCCTAAAGGGTGCATACTAGCACCTTAGAGTAGTAATATGTACCATTAAGGTAGTAGTATGTACTCATATGGTACTATAATGAACCTTTCAAGGATAAATAAGTTACAAAGGTGTCACTTTGAGGGTACTGCCCCAGTGACAAGCTGTTGCACACATTTTTTTCTGAAAGTGAACAGTAGGCGACAAGTACCCCTTTGGTATTCTGAAGTGTGCATTTGATGGACAGTTTACTTATGGGAGTGGAGTTGGCTGTAAAGCGACACAAGCGACGCCCATGTGACAGTAGGTGCGTTTCCATTTCAGATTTGCGCAAAACTTGCAATATTTTATATATGTTTAAAAAAAAAACTATTGCGAAATGACAACGTATCCATTATTTTTTAATCGAAGGTCGAAGGAGAGCCACTTCTGAAACAAGTCACAGCGCAGCTGGTATAAACACAAGCATTGACTAGAATTGCCGAAATCAGCATTCGGTGGCCATGTAGGAGCCGTAATGCGCCGCAGACATGTGCAGTGTAAATAAGGGGTCATCCAAGCATTAATGGCATGAAAAGCCCCTTATACTTGAGAGTGGCCATGTATGAAGTTTTTCTTGTAGGTTATAGTACATTAAAAAATAATCATGTGATTTTTTTTAATTATGCCAGGTGACCTGTAAATGCGAAAAAACTGTGCAGTTTTGCGTTTTGTTTTTTTTAATTATGCCAGGTGACCTGTAAATGCGAAAAAACTGTTTCCATTGCAGTTTTGCAAAATATTCCTTTTTCGAATTGCCTGAAAAACCACTTCATGCGACCGTAAAAACTTGCTTGCAAAGTTTTTGCGAAACTGACATGTTTCCATTGGCCATATTTTCAATTCGCAACTTCAATTTGCACAATTTGAAGGGTACATACTAGGGTACATACATAGTTTTACATAGTACAATCTTGCATTACTGAGGCGGTAACAAACCTCAAGGAGGCGACACTGTTACTTTCAGATGTCGGTGTCAATAAAATGGATTTATTTTTATTTAGATAGCTAGCTATAAGCATGTCAACAGTTAAACAAAGTCCAGCTTCTGTCAAAATGAATGGAGAAATAGCAAAAATGTTAATATTTTACCCCACTTTCACAGTAATTACCTGAAAGAGCTCACATTCTTGAAAAGAGTGCACAAAACTACATAAGGAGAAAAAAATATGACCAAGACTAACCTTTGGGTCGCACTTTTAAGTCCAAAGCAAAATTTGGATCTTGAAGCAAAATCAGAGCATTGGGACCTTTGTGGCAATGTGAGTTTCTGTTCAAGTGAACTCAACTCGGCTCTAATATTTGGTTTACGCTAAACTACAATGCAGCAACTCCCTCCTGAGAACTTCATCTCTCAAGTTTTCCGAGGCATTGGGACTGAATACACCGCCCACTCTGTGAGGCACTGACGTGTGTGCTGGAGGAACATACAGAACCATGAGGCCAATCACTTTCCTCATGCAAGTGACACACCTAAAAACATACACACACAGGCCGCTCGGGACTCGAGTCTGTGTTTGCGTTTGTGACCCGAAGCCTAACCTGTGACGTCAATTTAAATCAACAAGGCCCTCTGGAGAAGATGAAGTCAGTGCTGTTCTCCATCCAAACCAAAGGCTTTAGCCAGCATTTCTCCAAGAGAAAGTCAGGTGTTTACTCAAACAACATATTCGTTTCCAGTAACTACAAGCATGCATTGGTTAAATCATTCGATGTTCAATTAAATAAAAGCAGTGTGAGCATGTTCCAAGCCAAAGTACCTTGAAGTCTTCTGTCTATGCAATGTCTTAATGTGCGGTCACTTTGATTCATGAAATTTCGGAAAAAATGTATACAAAAATTGTACACTGTCAATATTGTAGTGATGTATGAAGCACTGCTCACACAGAAGTCACTTTCAAAGAAGTTCACAGAGGTTCACTTTTATCGTGGTGAATTTTTATGACCAAATTTTAACATGAGCGAAATCTGCATTAGGAACTTTTTTGCCCTCATGTGAAACTCCCGAATATACAGATTTCTATTGAATCAACTGAACAAATGTGCACAATTTTGGCAAGCACTGGTAAATGTGACCACACACTAAAATTAAACTGATTTGAAACACTTTAAAAGGTATACTCCACCCCAAAATGAAAATGTTGTCATTAATCACTTACCCCCATGTCGTTCCAAACCCGTAAAAGCTTTGTTCGTCTTCGGAACACAATTTAAGATATTTTGGATGAAAACCGGGAGGCTTGTGACTGTCCCATTAATGCCAAGTAAATTACACTGTCAAGGTCCAGAAAAGTATGAAAGACATCGTCAGAACAGTCCATCTGCCATCAGTGGTTCAACCGTAACGTTATGAAGCGACGAGAATACTTTTTTGTACGCAAAGAAAACAAAAATAACGACTTTATTCAACAATTCGTCTCCTCTGTGTCTCTCCGCATCACCGTAGCGCCATTTTGGAGAATATCCGCTGAACGCAAGAAGCGTATGCTCTTCTGTGTCAGCCGCGACACAAGGATACGAATTGTTGAATAAAGTCGTTATTTTTGTTTTCTTTGCGTACAAAATTTTTTGTCGTAGCTTCATAAAATTACAGTTGAACCACTGATGTCACATGGACTATTTTAACGATGTCCTAAATACCTTTCTGGGCCTTAAAGTGGTAGTTTCCTTGCTGTCTATGGAGGGTCAAAAAGCTCTCGGATTTCATCAAAAACATCTTAATTTGTGTTCTGAAGATGAACGAAGTTCTTACGGGTTTGGAACGACATGAGGGTGAGTAATTAATGACAGAGTTTTCATTTTTGGGTGAACTAACCCTTTAATTGGTCTCCTATCTTGGTCAGACTGGTCTGTTGGCTGGTCTTAGAGGGGTTTGGGTTAATTTAAACTAATCAGGCTGGAAAATCATTTTGAACCAGTCAAGATCTTCTTAAGGCCGGGACACACCAAGCCGACTTCAAAGAACTAGCGATGACGAAAGCCGACGGTGTTGTTGCCTCGCCAGCATCTGGACCAAAAAGCTGCACTTGAACACACCACACTGACTACAGCCGACTGCAAATTAACACGTGAGTTCTGCGCCTTCGTTGAGAGTAATTAACTGTCTATATCAGCAGCTATCAATAGTATATTGATAGTATATAATCAACGTATTTAAAAGGAGAAACCGAAACAAGGATGTACATGATATACACTGATATACGAAACGTAAACAAATCAGCGCTTGCTAACCATTTTGAATATCAGAATCGTTGATAATATTCTTCATTTTAAGTGGCTCATGTTGTTGTGAAAATAGTCGCATATTGGAATGCTTGGAAAAAGATTGCGTAACATTATAACAGCCTTTTGTCTGTGCAGCCTTCATATACTTGCCTGTTTTCATCACTTTCGCTTTAATTCTCCTGCACTGACTCATTCACTAAACTGAACATCCAATCAGAGTTCTCACTTGCGCCGACGGCCCCGACGCCGAATCAACATGTTGAATCGGGCAAACTACCGCCGATGTGAGCCCGACGAGAGACAACGAGTGGAACACACCAAACAAACTATAGCCCGACAGACGCTCACCGACGGCCGACCGTTGTCTTGGTGTGTCCCCGGCTTTAGGCTTGTTTGAGCAATTTTTTCAAGTGGAATGCACAGTTTTTTCAATGATGTTCAGTACTGAATGAAATTATATAACATTGATCAACATTGCTTTCCTGCTATAAAAGTGTCTTGAACAAGCCTGAGCTCATTTTCCAGTTTTTCAGTTCGGTCAGTTGGTCTGTAGGCTGGTTTTAGAGGGGCAGCCAAAGCAAGCCTGGCCAGCCTGTGTCCACAGCTAAGCCAGTCTAAACCAGCTAAGAACTGTAAACCAAGTGTTTTTTGTTTGTTTTGTTTTTTTTATTAATGGAAGTGCACCTATAATACCTTGATGAAGTTGCGTGACATCAATAGCTACTATAACTAGGAATGTCTACTATTTCACTTACTATTTTTTAAATAGCAGGCAGAATACAGTGTTGTACTGATTAAGTTGCATGCTAGTTTTTCCATTTCGAACACAGCCAAGCACACTTGAGCAGTGCTGACATCTGATGAACTGAAGTAATGTCACCCTCTCAGAATGTTCTAGAGTAACAGGGCTGACTTCATCCTTCAGCTGTTGTGATCCCCTCGGCTAAGTGCAAAGAGCTTTCTAAGTGCGTGCCAACAGTGAGCAGCGTTTATTAAAAGAGGGAAGGGACGTCTAAAACACACAACATGATTTTGCACTTAGGGTGAAGCTTTCATCTCCAAAGCACTAAGGTCAGACCCTCCTTCACGTTTTCAATACATCAACGCATGGAGCCCGCTGTGAGACCCTGACATGAGAAATATGACGAGCTCACACCGTTATTTGGGTGTGTGCTAGTGTGTGTCTACAGGCCGATTTCCTGCAGCGTAATAGACAGGTGCTGAGCGCAGCACGGCTGTGGAGGTGGCAGCTGAGGTCTATGAAGCTTGGCATGGAGAGACGTTTCTGCTGTTTGTTTTGAAACACGAGGAGAGTGCGGGGCGTTAATATAAATTACACTGACGTTTATCACACTCAACAATATTATGAAAATGCAACCATATTACAAACATTTTGTACCATTCTACAATATAATGGCTTTATATGTCTGTTCTCATCGTTTCTTCATAAGACTCACCTTTAGAGTAGTAGAGTGGCAATGGCCTTCTCTTGGTAATACTAACTAGAGTCGTGTTACACTGAGTAAACATTGTTCTAAGTTAGGCAAGGATTTCTGAGCGATGACTTTAGGAGGATCAGGGAGGGACACAGAGACAAATCGGGACAAATGCACAGGGACATAACAAATGTGTCCACTTTTGCATTATTCTCCTACCAATATTCTCGCTCCAAAACTGTTGACAAATGCAGATATTTTGAAATAGTTCAACCAAAAATGAGCACTTTTGTGGAGTTTAATCTTTGGAACTTGCATGGAAAGGAACAGCACAAACATTTGTTAAAATTTAAAAAGGGGATACAGCAATGAAAAAAAATATGGCATATGAATATAATAGTAGGAAAAGGTTAACAGCAATGAAATATATTGAAATATATTTTTTTTTTCTCCCTCCACTAATTATTTTCCATCACAAACGAGGAACACAAAGTTTTGCAAGAGAACGCAAAAGTTTAGCGAGCAAACGCAAAAGTTTAACGAGCAAAAATAAAATTTTAGCAAACAAAAATGTAAGTTTAGTGAACAAAACCGAAAGTTTAGTGAGCAAAAACAAAAGTTTAGTGAGCAAAAACAAAAGTTTTGTGAGCAAAAACTAAAGTTTAGTGAGCATAAATAAAATTTTAGTGAACAAAAATTTAAGTTTAGTGAACAAAACCGAAAGTTTAGTGAGCAAAAACAAAAGTTTAGTGAGCAAAAACAAAAGTTTAGCCTGCAAAAACAAAAGTTTTGTGAGCAAAAACTAAAGTTTAGTGAGCATAAATAAAATTTTAGTGAACAAAAATTTAAGTTTAGTGAACAAAAACAAAAGTTTAGTAGCAAAAACAAAAGTTTAGTGAGCAAAAACAAAAGTTTAGCCTGCAAAAACAAAAGTTTAACAAGCATAAATAAAATTTTAGTGAACAAAAATTTAAGTTTAGTGAACAAAACCGAAAGTTTAGTGAGCAAAAACAAAGGTTTAATAATCAAATGCAAACGTTTAGAGAGCAAATGTTAATTGTACGAATACAAAAGTTTAACAAGCAAACTTTAGTTTAGCAAACAAAAGTTTAGCGAACAAACAAAAGTTTAGTGAGCAAAAACAAAAGTTTAGCCAAGTGTAGCTCAATTTTATTGGAGGAATGCAAAGTTTAACAAGCGAACTCAACAGTTTAATAATTAAACTTTAATGAGCAAACAAAAGTTTAGTGTGCAAACACAATTTTATTGGGGAATGCGAAAGTTTAACGAGCAAATGCTAGTTTATCAGGGAAATGCAAATGTTTTGTGAGAACGTACTGTAACGTAACGTTTTGAAAATGATTGCAAAACTTTTGCTGACAAGCACAAACGTTTATCAACTGAATGCAGAAGTTTTGTGAGCAATCACAGAAGTTTTAGGAGCAAACGCAAACGTTTCTTGGGGGAATGCAAAAGTTTAACGAGTTAACACTTAAAGCAAGGTTAACAGGTAAATGCTAAGTTTCTCGCCTACATGCTAAGGGAACTCAAAGGTTTCGTTAAACAACGCAAGAGCATTGAAATATAATTTTCCTCCCGTGTCATTGTTTTCCCCATGTCCCTTTAGGGGCTCCATATAAATGACATGAGGGTGAGTAAATAATATTTAAAGAGCTATTCCTTTAAAGACAGCCCAAAAGTCTAAGTCTTAAACAGATGGCAAGCATTTTACAGAGTAGAAAACATGTTGGCTTCATTTGCTTGATACATTTTTGACTGCTAAATAGTATTTGTCACTCAAATGGTTATAGCTATTCAACCATGGCAATAACACCATAAAGAATAATTTGGAGTTTTTACAGCATCATTAGCAAGTAAGCTCCTTAAGCATTCACACATGCACACACTCACCTCCAGACGTCTGTCCTGTGCTAAAATGAGGTGCAGGCGGCTGCAGAGTGTTTGTGTTGGACCCTGAAGGTCGTAGGTCAATGTGTGCAGTGGTCTTTCGCTGCAAAAAATAACACCAATATCTGCATATTAAGGAATGCCTAGCTTTTGTCAGATGCACAATCACACACAAAACAGTGTCTATATCACAAACACACACACACACACACAAAACAGATGCTGCATACAGAGATAATTAACTGTCTACTGCACACTAGACAGTGTTTCAGTGCTCTTTCGCTGCAAAAAATAACACCAATATCCACACATTAAGGAATGCCTAGCTTTTGTCAGATGCACAATCACACACAAAACAGTGTCTATATCACAAACACACACACACACACACACAAAACAGATGCTGCATACAGAGATAATTAACTGTCTACTGCACACTAGACAGTGTTCGGACAGAGTGACAGATGTGAGACTGCAAAAAATAAAAAAAATTTAAAGTAATGAACAACAAAGCTCTGTTCCAAAACCTTAGAGCTTCCTATGCAGGCAGCATTTTAAAGCATCATGGGATCCACAAGGAAACTCAATTATTCTGCCTCCTAACATACTTATTTTTAGCCAAATTCTAAGGCAGCATACCATGCGTCTTTTGCAAAGGTGGCAATCCAAAATCTCTATGCCAAGCTAATCAAAAACAAGAAATACAATATGACAAACAAGTGAAATGTTGGTTATAAATAAGCCTTTTTCTTTCAATACTGAAAATTTTCACCAAATACTTGTGTGCTGTATATTTGTCATTGTTTTGTTTTCCCCCAGAGTAAAAAGCTATTAGCTTAGCAACATGCTAATATCAAACTCTACTGGAATGTAGTGTGAATCTCGAGTCTTGTGTGAAGCAATATGTGCTGCTGCCTAAAATGTTATAAATCACTCACTTGTGAGGCGTCATAGCAAATAGCATGTTGCCTTATAAGGCAGCTGCCTATGTAGGTACAGTAGTAGGCAGTGAGGTTTTGGAACAAAGCTTGAGCCTAATAAGCAGTAATATTCTCACCTGAGGTAGGACACTGTTGGAGGACTTGGCTGAGACGTCCACATCTGGAGATAAAGACTTAAAGTTATTCAAATAAAGGGCTGACAACTGGTAACACTTTAAGTATAGGGAACAATTCCCACTATTAACCAGCTGCTAATTAGCATGCCTATTAGTAACATATTGGCTGTTTATTAGTGCTTATAATAAAGCACATATTCTGCATGAGCATAGTCTCCATCCCTAATCCTACCCAACACCTAAACTTAACAACTACCTTCCTAACTATTAATAAGCAGCAAATTAGGAGCTTACTGAGGCAAAAGACATAGTTAATGGTTTGTTAATAGCGAGAACTGGACCTTAAAATCAAGTGTGACCTGACAATTTAAGACATACTGATTCCCTTCACTTTTAAGATGTCAACTAATGATATATTAGTATTATTTATGTTCTATTACTGCAGATATACATTAGTTTATTTTTATATTATATTACCCTTAGTACTTAAACTTTTTTTTCCAGCTTATTTTTAAATCACTTTTATGTGCTTTTATAATTTGTATTTTTTTACCATTTTAATTATTTCTTTACTTTTACTACTTCAACTTCAAACATTTATTTCAGTTAGTTGCCTAGATGGCATTTCTAGTTTTTAAATATAATTCATCGTAATTTACAAAAACAATACCGTTTTGTCATCACGGTTTGATTATTTTAAAGAAAGACTAGAAATATAAAACATCTGTTCTAGCATAATATAATGTGGTAGTTGTTATTTTCCTTGACGACACTGGTATATATGGGAAAGGCATATGTGAATTAGCTCATCGTGTTTAACAAACAAATAAGTGAGGCAAATCTGAGGTTTATGTGAGGTCTCATGGAAAATGAGCGTGTACCTGCTTTGCTTTGTGTGTTGTTGGGGATTTTGGTCTGTGCGGTGACTAAGAGTTCATATGTGTGCTCTTCCTCTTCCAGAGGCTCGGCGCGTTCATCCACACTGCTGTTGGTGTAAACCGCCTACAGAGAGAGAGAGAGAGAGAGAGACTCAGTGATGAAGAAAGCGCTGATATAAAAACCAGTCGCTTATTTCACAGTCCCTACCACTTTACGAACAGCAGTACAATGAAAATGATGATCGTTTTAATAACAGTATTAAGTTTGAGTGGCTGACATTTATATGACACAGTCCAATGAGTGATGTTTTGCCAACACTGCATGAATGTATCAACAAAAAAAAAAAGCTTTGTAAGAAAAGTCTGGCCTACTACTTCAGTTCAGAGTGGTTCATAAAACTAAGTGAAGTATTCAGAAGTTGTGAATCTCTGTATGCAGCCACAGAGACAGCGCTGGAGTGTTTTAGTATTGGTCATGGGCTCCCAAGGTTTGCTGTGTGTTGCAGAGATCCACAGCATTAATATTCATGAGGATGCTGTTTGATTTGGGTAGACGTGCAGAAACAGCAGTCAGCGAGCGGAAAGACAGATTCAACAGCATCTCGCCGCAATATTCATTGCTCTGCTCTCTAGCATGTGAGCTGCTTCAAATCAATATGTCTATTCATTACATCGTCACAACACTTGTATTGCCTTTCACTGGGCCGTTCTTCCAGAGCTATTTATTAAGGATTCCAGACTTAATTTGATTTTAGTAAAATGTGAATCAAACAATGGATCTCTGAACAGGGATTTTACCTCAGAGCTGAGATCCTCATCCTGTGCAGACTGATTCTGTGGAGGACGGCGCTCTTTCTGTAAGAAACATTCAACTAATTCACTATCAAACATGCTAAAAATTTATTTTTTGAAAGAAACGCTCAAAGAAATCGCTATGCAAAGTCTCCATCTAGTGGAGGAAACTGTGCTACACCAAATCTTCCGATTTCAAAGAAAGCTTTATCAAAGAACTGCTTTATTCCTTTCAATAAAAAAAGAGGTGAAAAAATGTTCAAATACAGCAAAGTTCAATAAACTGTTTAAATGCATTATTAATAACGACATCATAATAAATGAATACTTCTTCCGCCAAGCAATATAATTCATTAACTGGATATGTATGGTTGCCATGAAATGTATTAGTTTTTCATTAAAGGGGTCATATGATGCGATTTCAAGTTTTCCTTTCTCTTTGGAGTGTTACAAGCTGATTGTGCATAGATAAGATCCCTGAAGTTGCAAAGACTAAAGTCTCAAAACCAAAGAGATATTCTTTATCAAAGTTAAGACTCTGCCACGCCCCCCTAAAACGGCTCGTTCTAACACGCCCCCACATATCTACCTCACTATGTGGCAATATTTGCATAATGCGCCCAAATGTGCACGCAAAGAAAGAAGGCGTGGTTTCAGTAACCGCAGTTAGTGTTGAAGCAGCCATGTCAGGAAGACGCTGTGTGTTTCTAGGCGAAAGCAAAAGCACTTTATTTGGCCTTCCGAAAGTAGATGCATTTAGGAATCTTTAAGATTACTTACAACAGAACAGCAAAGCATTTTATGGACGACCGTTTCGTGAAACTAGGAGAGGAGGTAATTCTGACTTTACTATGACAATCTGGCGCTTCTGAATAAGCTACTGTTTTGTTATTAGTTTAAGTATTTGCTATTGACTGTTCAAATGCGGAGTTTTGCGCAGCGCAGAGTAACGCGTCGTGTGTGTGTGTGTGAGGGGAACAGGGTCACATCACAGGAGAGTGAACTGAAAAAAATTCTGATGTCTGTTCACATCACAGTGGAGTCAGCTGTCTTAACCGTGGCTTGTGTATTGCACACATACCAGCTTCATCACTGTGTCTGTCACACGACTCTGTTCCCCTTTCGGGCTGTCTTTGCATTTATTTTGAAAGCTGACACTCGAGATTATGGTAAGGGGCGTTACATTTCCGACGAGTGCTTGCAGTGTTCGGCCAATCACAATGCACTGGGTCAGCTGGCCAATCAGAGCAGACTGCGCTTGTCGGAAGGAGGGACTTTGTAGAAAATGAAGCGTTTGAGAGAGGCGGGGCATAGAGGACCTACAATAATGTACAGTATTTGAAAAATAATGTGTTTTTTGAACATTAAAGCATGTCAACATATTCTGTTACACCAAATACACAAAATAATGATCTTTAAAAAAAGCATCATATGACCCCTTTAATATAGAATGTGCAGCCACATCTGCATTTATAAGTTTTTCTATGAAGGCTTTGGGACGAGGCTCATCCATTCAGAGTCTAGAGTCAAAAGTATGATTTTATAAATAGCAGTTACACTTCCTCATCTCCATTTGCCAGATAATACCACAAATAAGGAAATAAAAATATATTTATTACTCAAACAATTGAAAGGACAACATCAAAGAGCTCAAAAATAAACTCTTGTTCCCTGTGAAAATGTATTTGTTGATTTCAACCAACAAATGTTTAAAATATAAATAAACAAACAAACAAACAAACATGCATACACAAACAAACAAACAAATAAATAAATAAACAGACATATGCATACACACAAACAAGCAAATAAATAAATAAACATGCACACGCATACACACAAACAAATAAATAAATAAACACACGCATACACACAAACAAATAAATAAATAAACAAACATACACACGCATACACACAAACAAGCAAACAAATAAATAAACATGCACACGCATACACAAACAAATAAATAAACACGCATACACACAAACAAACAAATAAATAAATAAACAAACATACACATGCATACACACAAACAAACATACACATGAATACACACAAACAAACAAATAAATAAACACACACATGAATACACACAAACAAACAAATAAATAAACACACACATGAATACACACAAACAAACAAACAAATACATAAACATACACATATGCATACACACAAACAAACAAATAAAGAAATAAATAACATACAGTATCTCGCACGCACACCTTCCCGGCTTCGCTGTCCGATGACTTTCCGCTGGCCAGGCTGTCCAGTGAGACACACGAGGACGCCTCAAACAGAGCTTCATACGGATTCTCTTCCACAGGGGTCGAAGCCAAACCGGATATGAGCTCACTGACCTGCTGCTCCATTTCTCCTGTCAAAACACAATCGTACGCATTACAACATCTGCAGAACATCTGGCATACCGATACCACGAGCAGCATTTCCTCTCACATCTGGCCTGATAGACATAAAAAGAAAAGCTATTTACATTTCTTATATATACCGTATTGACCCGAATATAAGACGATGTTTTTTTCTTGGAAATACATCTGAAAAAACGCGGTCGTCTTATATTCAGGGTCTAGACTTTGACATGTCAATAATTCACCCACAACAATAGGTGGCGCCAAATACGCATAAAACGAGTGTGCCATGAAATACGCAATGTAATGCGTGTTGTAAAGATCGCGAGTAAAAACACAAGAAAAAGAAAACCTTACAGCTGCATAAGTTGTGACTGTCACGTTAGCCTGATGGGACCAAACTCCCTTTGTGTTTTTAAACGTAAGACAGTACCCAGATTTGAAGACTAGCCTACAGTAAGATTTAACTTCTACTGTTAATAAGATTTTGGTAGGCTACTATTAGATGGATAGCCTAAATGTCCTAATTCAGATGGGCTACCTGGTTTTTTTTGTTTTTTTTATGGTATATCAAAAAGTGTGTATTTAGGGGACAAGCACCAAAGGTGCGTAGTCACCTATTGAAACCGTTGGCATTCTTCTTCTTCTAGCACCAACACTTGTCCAAAGTTGCAATTTCTTTATGCTAATAACTTTTGAACCGTAAGGCACAAAAGGAAAATTTTTTTTCCCTCTGAATCCTTGGCTCATGCCGAATCGAATGAACACCAAAATTGAAAGGTTTAGTTTTTTCGCTATTTTTAATTGTTCGTAAAACTTACTTTGTCGAACTCGTCCTAGACGGTTTGTCTGATTCTCACCAAAATTGGCTCAGATCATCTTCAGACCATGCTGGCAAAAAGTTATGGAATTCAAGTTGATTTGTCCAACCGTTCTCGAATAACGCACAAAGTAATTCTACGAAAAGCACGTAAAAAGGAATGTGAGGCTATATCTCCGCAACGGTTTGGCGTATTGACACCATACTCGGTGTATTTTGGGCGTCGGCCATTTTGAATTTTGTCAAAAAATGCAATATTTTAAGAACGCTTAGACTTTGTTATTACGAAAATCGGTATGCATCTTCGGCACCGTGCCCTGATGGTACTCAAAAAGTTTGGGCAAAAATAAAGCAATTTATAAAAACGCTAATAACTTTTGCATACATTATCATATTGTAAAGAGACTGATGTTGCTAGATTCCTTGGAACGTGCCAAAATCATCGATACCAATTATGCCATAATTGGCTGAACTTCCTGTCCGCCATTTTGGTTCATGTTGAAAACTGACTTTTTCGAACTCCTCCTAGACCGTTAGTCCAATTCTCACCAAATTTGACTCGGATCATCTTCAGACCAAACTGGCATAAAGTTATGGATTTTGTGTCGATATACGAAACGGTTTTCGTTTAGCGCATCAACGAATTTGCTGGAAAGATGCCAAAATGCATCTGAGGCTGTATCTCTGCAAAGCTTTGACGTATTTGCACCAAACTTTGTTTGTGCCATTATCACCTCACACTGACCACGCCACATCAATTTGGTAACAGCGCCACCTATTGGTCAAGAGTAATAAACCATTCATTAACCATTAATAATTACATTTACAAAAATGCTAATAACTTTTTATTGCATTAGCCTATTGCAATGAAACTGGTCTCAAAATATTCAGTGGCTTATGCCGACAACATAGATACCAACTATGCCAGAGTATGCTGAACTTCCTGTCCGCCATTTTGATTAATGTTGAAAACCTACTTTTTTTTAACTCCTCATCACTCGTTTTTCCGATTTTCACCAAAATCGAGTCAGATGATCTTCAGACTGTGCTGACAAAATGTTATGGATTTCGTGTCGATA